CAGCTCTTTCCATCTCCAGGCGAGAGAGAAGTGCAGGATGGATCCCCCCACCCCAAACTGGAGTCTGGTAGCGCCCGGCCGGGCCTGGAGCAGGAGGAGGAGGAGAGGCTTGGCCTGACTCACCGTTGTCCTGGCAACAGGAGGGCCCGGAGGCCCGCGTCCCTGATCCCTTAATCTGAGAGGCCGCCACAACAGCGCCGCGGGAAAGGTCCCCGCAGACACCTGGCCGGTTCCAGCTGCCCAGACCCCGGGCGGGCGGCAGGAGCGGGCGCTCTCGGTGCCCTGGACAGCTGCCCAGGAGGCCGTCACGATGCCTACAGCTCTCCAGACGCCCCGAGGCTTTTTCCTCGGGCCAGACTCCCCCTGACCGCCTGGGCTTCTCCCTGGGGTTCTGCGTGGTGCTGGCGGTCCCCCCAGCCTCTGGGAGACCCCCCGCAGGAAACCCCCCACGTGCAGGGAGCCACGCAGGACATCTCACTCTCCACATTAGGGCCTCTTAGGCATCCAGGATAAATTTTTGTTTTTGGGTCACACCTGGCGGTGCTCAGGGTTTACCCCTAGCCCTGGGCTCAGGGGTCACTCTGAGTTGGCCCAGGGGACCAAATGGGGTGCCAGGAGAGGAACCCAGGTCAGTCTCGTCCAAGGCGAGCACTTGACCTGCAGTTTTATCTTTCTAGGCTCCTATTATACCTCTTAAGTTAACTCTCTGCCTACATTCACCATGCAGGCGAAAGATACTCCCACTGACTCTTGGTCGGCCTCCACAAACTGGAGGACACGCCTCCCAGGGGACACGCCTCCCCAAGGACGCCCCCCAGGACACCCCCAGGACACAAACCCGGGACATGCCACAGGACATGCTCCAGGATACCCCTAGGATACCCCAGGATGTGCCCCAGGACACCCCCAGGATATGACCCAGGACACCCCCAGTACACAACCCCAGGACACCCTCAGATCATCTCAGGACATGACTCAGGACACCCCCAGGATATGACCCAGGACACCCCCAGGACACCCCAGGACTCCCCCAGGACACCCCAGGACACTCCCAGGACACTCCCAGAACATAACCCAGGACGTTCCCCAGGACACCCCCAGTACACAACCCCGGGACACCCCCAGGACACCCTCAGGACATCTCAGGACATGCCCCAGGACACCTCCAGGCCACCCCCAGGACATCCCCAGGACACGCTTTCCCTGCCCTGGCATCTTGCAGGTTCCCCGGAAGAACCTGAGGTTGCTGGGGTGCGAACAGGCGTGATTTCGAATCTGCCTCTGCCGCAGCGCTCCAGACTGGCGCCGTACAATTGGGCCCCTGGACAGTGAGGTTGGGGCAGCGCGCCTGTACTCCCCCGTAAGGAGCGTTCGAGAAAGCAGCGACCTGGGACCACACGGCTGCGATTTCGGAGTTTCAGCCTCTGGGGTGAAAGGCCAGCGCCCCCCAGAGCGAGGGACCTTCTGGAGACCCCTGAGGGGGAGAATGGGAACGCGCACCGATCTGCCTCTTCCTCATCTAACACACCTGCCCGTTTCTGTGCCCCTCCCCAGTGCCCCTCCCCAGTGCCCCTCCCCAGTGCCCGAGCACTGTGGCAGGAGCTACCGAGGAGCGAGTCAGTGTTTCTCTGGCATGCACAGGTGCCACAGCTTTGCATTTGTTCTTTTCCCCCCATTTTTTTTTTTTTTTTGCTTTTTGGGTCACGCCCGGCAATGCACAGGGGTTACTGCTGGCTCTGCGCTCAGGAATCACACCTGGCGGTGCTCAGGAGACCATATGGGATGCTGGGAATCGAACTCAGGTTGGCCGCGTGCAAGGCAAACGCCCTACCCGCTTTGCTATTGCTCCAGCCCCTCCCCCCCTCTTTTTATTTTTTTCCTTTTGGGTTACACCCGGCGATGCACAGGGGTTACTCCTGGCTCTGTGCTCAGGAATCACTCCTGGCGGTGCTCGGGGGACCATATGGGATGCTGGGAATCGAACCTGTGTGGGCCATGTTGGCTGCATGCAAGGCAAACGCCCTACCCACTGTGCTATCGCTCCAGCCCCACCCCCCTCATTTTGGGGCCACACCTGGTGGCCGCAGGGACTCTCGATGGATTCAGGGGACCACGTGGTGCCAGGGACTCGGGCTGGGCCTGTCACATGCCGTGCCGCGCCAGCCCGCCCATCCCTTGGTCACCCTCCAAGCTTCAGGACAAGGAGACCTTTATTGTCTTGTCGGTGCCCAACAGATGAGGAAACGGATGCTCTGTGATTTGCCTTGCTCCCGGGCTTTGCTGTCACTGCCCAACTCCTGTCCTCGCTCTCGGGACCACACTCTGTGAGAGGCTCCGAGCACTGTGGAGCCAGAGTCTGGGACACAGGACCCCAGAAAGGAAGGGATGTGAGCCTCACCTGGCCAGCCCATGGACCCAGGACAGGGTTTTAATCCTCGATTGCCCAAATTTCCTAGGAGAGGGGCCAGAGAGACAGTGCTGTGGCGGGTACGTCACATGCAGGCTCAATCCCTGACATCCCATATGGTCCCCCGAGTCCTCCAGGAGTAATTTCTTTTTCTTTTTAATTTCTTTTTTTGCTTTTTGGGTCACACCCGGCAATGCACAGGGGTTACTCCTGGCTCTGCACTCAGGAATCACTCCTGGCAGTGCTTGGGACCCTATGGGATGCTGGGAATCGAACCCAGGTCGGCCGTGTGCAAGGCAAATGTCCTACCTGCTGTGCTATCACTCCGGCCCAGCAGGAGTAATTCCTGAGTGTACCGCCAGGAGCAAGCCCCGAACACTGTCAGGTGTGTCCCACCCCCTCCAGAAATTTTTTTCCAGCAGAAGCAAAGCTCACCAGCACCCCAGAGCCACAGAGCTGGAGGGGGGGGATGGTCCTGGTCACTCGGACAGGGAGGTTGTTCTCGGCGTCTCTGTCCTGCATTTCGCCTGCACCGCCAGGGGTCTGAGCGTCCCTTGGGCTCCGGGGCACGTCCAGCTCTCACTGCTGGAACCCACCACGAGCTCCCCAATCCCTGAGCCTATATGCCGAGTTTCTCAACATCCCGCTGTGCCAAGGGCCGTCTCTGTCTTCACGTCCCGGCACCCGTGACCTCCCCTGAGCGCAGGGGCGACCCCCCTGCCTCCTTACATCAATGGCCCCCAGAAAACCCTTTCCACTGCAGACAGGGCAGATCCAAGGTGCGCAGTTTGAAGCTCAGATGTGTGTGGCCTGCTCACCCCACCTCTCAAGCTGACCCTGGGGACCCCAGTTTACTTCTGTAATTTTCTGTTCCAGATGGGGGTTCAAGCAATCACTGCTCCTGACTCAACTGGCGACCCCTACACTTCCGACCCCAGAAACCGGAACTTAGAAAAACTTCCTCATTTTCCTCCCCTGCCTCCCAGAAACCCTCTTCAGCCCACAGGACCCCCTCAGAGCCCCCGACACAGCAACTGTGCTGCCCACTGGAGTGGACGCTGCCCCATCACCAGCGTTCAGTGGTCATATGGCTCCAGAATGTTCCACTCTGTGGCCGCAGGGTCAGAGCAGAATTAGAGGCTGCCCCTCCCCCCAACACACACACACACACACACACACACACACACACACACACACACACACACACAGGCCCCTACTTCCTTGGGTGTCTGACCCGAGGGCCCAGTGAGTTTTGGGGACAAAGGACAAAGTTCGACCTTTGCAATGGGACATCTCAGACCCCCACCCCTTCCGCTGCTGTTTTTATAAAGGAGGCCGGTGACTTTTACAGCCCCTGAGAGCCCAAGATCGCCACCCCTTCTCAGCTGCCGGGAGCCAGTGTCCTGCCTTCTGCCCGGCTCTCTGGCCAAGCTGCTGCCCTGTCGCCTCTGTGGACTGTCCCCCGAAACCTGGGTCCCCGCACGGGAGCAGCAGTGACAGCTGGGGTTTGTGGGCAGCAGAAACCAACAACCAGGAAAGGTGGGCGAGGGGTTGGGGAGACAGCGGGGAGGGCGCTGGCCTTGCAACGTGGCTCACCTGGGCTCGATCCCCGGCATCCTATATGGTCCCCGGAGCACCATCAGGAATGATTCCTGAGTGCAGAGCCAGGAGCAACAACTGGGCATCGCTGGGAGAGACCCAAAACCAATCACACACACACACACACACACAAAGGGCAAACTGCACAGAGCACATCCGAAGCCAGCAGCTGCACCGCGCGGGAGGGAGGGGGGTGGTGGTGGTGTTGTGATGAGATACGCAGGGCACGTGGCCAGCAGGGCTGTTCCCTGGGCATCCCATATGGTCACTGAGCCCTCCAGGAGCAAGTCCTGAGCACCGCTGGGTGTGGCCCCCAAACGGAAGAAAACAGACAGGAACTGTACCAACCCGGCGTCCTGACTGCAGGGTAAGGGGTCCCCCTGCCCCGGGCGACCCCAGGACCCCTCACCAGCTGGTGCTCAGCAGGGCAGGAAGACCGCTGGGGACCAACGCTGAGGATGCCAGCTCTGCCACCGGGCCTTCCAGCCTGCCCCGCTGGAACAGAGGCACCAAAGAGCCACCCTGGGGCCCTCCGGTGAATGTGCCCGCTCTGCGGCCCCTCCACACCCCACCCCGGGCACCCGAGACTCGGCCACCTGCCCAAGCCCTCCCCTGCCCAACCGAGCACAGACGGGAAATGGGAAACGCTCGTCTTTTACAAAGGACTCTATTATTACAGCATCCAAAACGCAACTCGAAAGTCGTGCGCCCCCCCCGCCCCCCGTCCCCGCCAAAGGTCCCCAGCCTGTCCGTCCCCCCAACCCAAGCCCGCTACTTCTTGGAATCACTCCCCGGCAGGGTCAGGATGGTTTCATACATTTTATTGTCAAGGAAATGAACAGCCCGAGGGGTGGGGGTGGAGGGGTCCCCAGGTCCAAGCTCTGCACACCCCCGCCCCGCCCGCCGCCCCCGGGGTCCGGATCGGGGTGCTGGGCGGCGGGCGGCGGCCTCCCCGCTCGCTCCCGCCGCCCCCCGCCCCCGCCCGCCCGCCCGCCCGCGCGCCCGCCGCTGAGTCCCGGGGAGGAGGGGCGGGGGCGGGCGCGGGGTCACTCGCCCGTGTGGGTCCGCAGGTGGTACTTGAGCGACTGCTTGTAGCGGAAGCACTTGGCGCAGTGCGTGCAGGGGTAGGGCCGCTCGCCCGTGTGCGCGCGCTGGTGCTCCAGCAGGTGATGCTTCTGCGTGAAGCGCTTGCCGCACTCGGCGCAGTGGTAGGGCCGCTCGCCCGTGTGGATGCGCCGGTGCTCGAGCAGGTGGTGCTTGCGGATGAAGCTCTTGCCGCACTCGGGGCAGGCGTGCGGCCGCTCGCGCGAGTGCACGCGGCAGTGGTTGGTGAGCTTGGACTTCTCGCTGAAGCTCTTCTCGCACTCGGGGCACTTGAAGGGCCGCTCGCCCGTGTGAGTCCGCTGGTGGCGCAGCAGGTGTGACGGGCGGCTGAAGCTCTTGCCGCACAGGCTGCAGATGAACGACACCTCGTGCTTGCCCGCGTGCACGCGCTGGTGGATGACCAGGCTGATGTGCAGGCGGAAGCTCTTCTTGCACTCGGGGCACGTGTAGGGCCGCTCGCCCGTGTGCGTGATCTGGTGCTTGGTCAGGCTCGACTTGTGGCTGAAGCTGCTGTCGCACTCGGGGCACTTGTAGGGCTTGGGGCCCCCGCCGCCGCCCCCGCTGCCCGCGCCCGGCGACTTGGGCCGCGGCTTGAGCGCGTGCTTGGGCGCGAAGGCGGCGGCGGCGGCGGCGGCGGGGGGCGCCGGGGGCGCCGGGGCCGCGCTCGGGGGACGCGTAGCCGCCGCGGCCGCGGTGCGCGCGCTGGTGCAGCGTGAGCTGCTGCTTGTGGCGGAAGCTCAGGTGGCACTCGGCGCACTCGTAGGGGCCCTCCTTGATGTGGTTGCGCTGGTGGATGACCAGGTTGATCTTGAGGCGGAAGCTCTTGCCGCACTCCAGGCAGGTGAAGGGCCGCTCGCCGCGCCGGTTGCGCTGCTGCTGCTGGTGCTGATGATGCGCGCCCCCGCCGCTGCCGCGCGCCTCCGCGTGGCCGTGCCGCTCCCCGTGCGCGCCGCCGCCGCTGCCGCCGCCCCCGCCGCCGCCCCCGGGCGCCAGCCGCTTCCCGCCCGGGGGCCCCAGCGGCAGCGGCGGCGGGGGGCTCTCCTCGCGCTCCTCGTCGGGGGACAGCTCCCCGGGCAGCGGCGGCGGGTACAGGCCCGCCTCGTACCTCCCGGCCAGCGGCCCCAGGCCCTGCAGGTGCCGCGGCAGCTCCTCCTCGTCCTCCTCCTCCTCCTCGTCCTCCTCCTCCTCCTCGTCCTCCTCCTCCTCTTCCTCCTCCTCCTCCTGCTCCTCGGTCTTGATCACGATGCCTTCTGCAGAAAGAGACCGAGTCAGGCGACTCGGGTCTGTTTTTTTTCTTTTTTTTGGGGGGAGGGGGGATGGGGGCCACACCCGGCAGTGCCCAGGGTTGGCGGACTCCCGGCCTTTCAAACTCCAGGATCACTCCCGGCAGTGCTTGGGGTGGGGGGACCGTCTGGGGGTGCCGGGATCCAGCCCCGCTCTGCTCCGTGCAAGGCAAGCGTCCTCCCCACTTCACTCCAGCCCTTGCTCCTCTCACTTTTGGGGGCGGGAGGGGGGAGCCCGGAGAGGCTTCTTGCTGCTGGGGGCCACACCCGACCCCGATTCCTGCAGCTGAGACTTCCCCTCCCCCCACTCCGCCCTTTCGCCAACGCTTCTGTGGCTTCCAAGGGGGACGTGGCTTCAGCCCCCCTGATCCCTCTGGGACGGTCTCCCCCACAAAGCTGCTGCCTGCACCCGCCCCCCACCACACCCCCCAATCCAGCTGTGATTCTGCCTCCTCCTCCCTCGACCCCTCCCCCAGTCTGGGCACCCAGGGGCATCCACCTCCCAGGACAGAACCCGCCACTCTCCGCCCTGTGGCACTTCACCGGACCCAGAGAGCCTCTGGCTTGTCATCTCTGGGACGTGCTCCCTGAACACCCCTAGTGATGGCTGCCCCCTTCCTCCTGGCCCCTGGATACCTGGTGCCCCTGAGCCCCGAAGGGCGCCCCTGGCACCCCGGCCGCTGCTCCCCACACGCAGGCCTCCCGTGTCTCGGGAGAGAGTCACGGCTGCCTCCGAGAGACCACGAGTCTGCGCTTGCCAAGTTCTCAGGGGGGGATGAATGGAGAACAGCTGCTCACAGCCACTCGTCCTAGGAAGGCAACTGGCAACCCACCCGTCTCACAGAACCTGGGCGCCCAAGCCTGGGGACTTTGCTGAACGAGGCCCACGAATCTACAGAACATTCTAGAATGCACACCTCCTGCCCCGCCACGAGCAGGGAGACCCCTGCTGGATGGACCTGGCCAGGCTTGCTGAGCTGGGTAGTGACCAGGCCAGAGGTGATCAGTGAGAAGCCAGGTGGGCCAGTCGGCTCTGCGGGGGGTAGGGGGGTGGGGGTGGGGAGGGTGGTCTGCAAGGAAGGGACCCGCGCCTGGGGCAGAATGTGTCACAGGTCAGAGAGGTGACACCAGTGAGGCGAGGGGTAGGCAGCCCCCAGTCTGCGCTGACAGTTTCTCGACTCCCCTCTGGCACCAAAGAGTTTCCTACACAACGGAAGCAGAGCGAGAGTGTGCGGGGCTGCAGGGCGCCCCACCCACGCTCCACGCCAAAGGCCGTCTCGGCTCCCACCAGGAGGCCCCACCTGGCAGGACCTCAGCCTGCCTGAGCCTTCCTGTCCTCTCTGGTGGGAAGGCGAGGTACAAAGACTCGGGGACGTCACGCAGCCGTCTCAAAAATAAGAAGCTGGAGCTACCGTTTCCCCCCACTGCTGGGACCTGGTGATTTCAGTACGAAAGAGCGAGCTGCGAATCTACAGGAAAAAACGAGACTCTCCAAAGTCAATGTCACACTTTTAAAGGGCTCCCGGTTCAGGATGTGGATACATTTCTGGGCCCGAAGAGTCCCTAAACTATACACTTTAGAGGAGGAATTTCACACACACACACACACACACACACACACACACACACACACACACAGTGCCCACACACATGTGCATGTGCACACACACAAATAAGCACAGACACACGCGTATACACACACATGTGCACAGACACATACGCATGCAGACACTCATGCATGCACACACGTGTGCGTACAGACATAGACACATATGCATGCACAGACATGCACACACGCACACACACAAGCAGACACACATGTGCACACACACGAACAAGCACAGACACACGCGTATACACACATGTGTGCACAGACACATACACATGCAGACACACATGCATGTGCGTACAGACAGACACATATGCATGCGCGCGCACACACACACACACACACACACACACACACACACACACACACAGGCATGTCTTAACTGAACCCAAGCCCAGGTGAATTCTACCAGGTCTCAAGGCCACACTCAGGGCCTGACTTTTCACAGGCAGTCAGGCCTCCCACTGGGCAAGGCGGCTTGTAAGAAGGCAGGGGTGGGGGGGTGGGAGGGGTCCCTCCCGGCCCTCACTGACCTGCGCAGGGCCTCTGCTGTGCCAGCATCTGCTTGAGCTCGCTGAACTCGCTCGAGGCACCCGGGGACTCCTCCAGGGTCTGGTCGGGCTCCTGCAGGTCGAGGTCCGGCCGCTCCCCGCAGGGGTCCCCCGGCTCCGAGTCGGGGAAGCTGTGCCCCTCCACGTGCCCCATCAGGGGCTCGGGCGCCTCCAGGCTCTCGGAGCCCTCATCGTTGGTCTGTACCTCGATCTTGATGACGATGCCATCGTGTGCTGCAAGGGACAGAGAAGCGGGACACGGGTCACTGTACCTCACCGGACCCCGAGCCGGAACCCCTGCGCACAAGGACCGGGGGCACGTGCGTCTGCCTCTAGTGGTGGGCTCTGAATGGGGTCCCTGCCTTTCCTTTCCTGAGCTGCAGGGGGGCCCGGGGACAAGGGTGGCCAGTAAGGGCGGCCCTGGCCTGCCAGACCCCGGACCAACCGAGAGAGGGCGGGAGGGCGGGAGACCCCCAATGCCTGCCCCAGCACATGGCTCCCAGCTTCCTCTCTGCACATCACTACGGCACGTAACGGGAAGGATTCTCTCCACCCCGGGTCCACCAAGGGAGCAGAAGAATCCTGTGTGGACAGCGAGCAGGTGCTCGGGGCAAGGCCAGGCCCACGGGAACTGGGGTCAGTGAGCACAGTGGGGCTTGGGCCCCGCCATCCCGGGAGCCTGCCAGGAAGTGATCCCTGTGCACGGCTGGGTGTGGGCCCCAAACCATGGGGGCAAAAGGACCACGCAGGCCCGTGAGGGTGGGTGGGTGGGCAGCTCACCGCCCCTCTAGCCCTGCCAGGCCACGGCAGAGAGGGTCCCCGGAAGCCCTGTCCCTCCCCGGGGATGCTGACACACTCCTCTCCCAACGGTCCCCATAGACAACCTGCAGAGACCCCTCCCGCCCTGTCCCCGCAAGACCTGGGACCCCCTTCCCCGCTGCCCTACTCCAGGTGGGGGCTGAGGCCTGGCTGGCCCCTCCCAGCTCTGGGCGGCCCTGCCCTCTGCTCGCCTGTAGACTCGGGGGGGAGGGGGGCGCATCCCTCCAGCCCTGCTAGCAGCAGCCTCCCCCCTGCACCCAGGCGGCCCCTCTGCATCATCCCCTCTCCTCGCAGGAGGGGTCCAGGGCCCACATGCAGAGACCATAGGTCACCCCAGGCAGGGGCCAGCTGAAAGCCGCTTTTGTTTGCGGACCATTGAGAGTCGCTGTCTGCTGGCGGCGCTTTGATTCTGGATTAAAGACATGCCCCTTCTTCCTGCTACTTCCGGGATGTCCCCCCCCACCCCCCCGGCCCAAACCGCCCACCACCTGTTGGTTTGGGGGACCCGTTAGTAGATTTTATTCTAAGACCCCTAACGCTCTACTGATATTCAGGCCTTCGCCCCGATGCCGTTACTCGGGGTGGTATGAGCTCAGGGTCCAGTTCTAGTCCCTCCTGGACTCGTGCCCTCGAGGGCCGGGAATCCTCTTGTTGCTGTTTTTAGGGCCCTACCTGGCAATGCCCAGAACAGGTAGCAGAGCGCGGGATTGGCAGGGAGGGGGGTACTTGTCTTGCAGGCGGCCGGCCCAGGTTCAATCCCCGGGCACCCCACATGGTCCCCAGAGCACCGCCATGCTAATCCCTGAGTGCAGAGCCAGGAGTAACTCCTGAGCATCGCTGGGTGTGACCCAAGCCAAAAACCAAACAGAAGAAAGAGACTGACTCCTGGCTCTGCACTCAGGAACACTCCTGGTGGGGCCCCGAGGACCCCATGGGATGCGGGAGATGGGCCCAGCTGGCCCGTGCAAGTGACGATCACCTGAACAAAGGGTGGCATCAACGTGCCCCACCCCTCTGTGCCCCAGACACCCATTTCCGGGCGCCCCAGCGGTGAGCTGGGAGGTTTCGACAGGCCGGGAGACACCCGTGGGCAGGAGAGCGGCTGGTCCTCAGCCCCCTCCGGGGCAGGACAGCAGGGCCGGCGAGGAAAGGACCCGGGAGGCCGGGGAGGGAGGCTGGCCGGCCTGCTGCTGCCTGGGGCCCAGGACTTCTCGCGACGTGGTGGACGCGAGGCCCAGCTGACCAGCACCGCGTCTGCAGAGAGGAGAATACCCACGGCCTGCCCCCCTCCCTCCTCTGGAGCCTCACGCCTCCCCCTCTCCCTTCACCCCTGCGATGATCCACGAGCACCTCCATGCGTGGGCGTCAGAGAACCACCTCCCTGCCTGGACAGCGCCTGTCACCCTCCTCAAGTGACCTCCCTGCCTGGACCAGCGCCTTGTCACCCCCGAGTGACCCCAAGGACCCGGGAGGCCCCCCCCCATCCCTTTACAGAATGCCCCAGAAAGGTGGCACCACACCCCAGCAGGTGAGTGACCGTCAGGGCACCCCACAGTGATGACCCAGCGGGGGGTGGCGGGGGCAGTGGGCCGTGGAACTCAAGAGCTTGAGAAACGGTCTCCGGGAAGGCGCCCCGCAGGCCTCAGAACCCAGCGACAGGGAAGCGGCCCTGCTCCCTGTTTTGTATGTTTGTTCTTGGTTTTGGGGCCCCACCTAGTGGTGCTCAGGGCTGACTCCTGGTTCTGTGCTCAAGGATCGCTCCTGGCAGGGCCCGCGACACACACACACACACACACACACACACACACACACACACACACACACACCGTATGTGGTGCCGGGAACCCGGGTCCGGTCCACTGTGTGGGCGCGGCGCGTGTCCTGCCCACTGCCTGCTCTCCCTGACCCCCGAGAGTCGGTCTGAGTTTCTATTCTCGCTCCCGCTCACCCACAGTGACTCGTCCCAAGCAGACGTGTCACTGTGTCACCGTGCTCAGAAGGTGTCAGCTCCCTCGCTCTCCTGAGATTTCCGGAAACGTGACCCAGACGGGAGCTTGGGCTTCGCTTATAATCACCTGTGGGCCCTGGTGGTGGTGGTGGTGGGGGTCTCCTCTCCCCTCCGCAGCCCCCCCCCCCCGACCGACGTCAGTGACCCTGAGCTGCGAGTCGCGGTGGCGTGATAAGCAATTTTCCCAGCCTGCAAACCAGGCGCTTTGTGGGAAACGCACCCCTTATAGCAAACAATGCCAGCCACGTCGGTGACTGCACGCGACCTGTGATGATGCCATGACCTGTGATGATGCCATGATGGGCCTTTGTGGTGAATCAGCTCAGAATCAAGTGTTGCAGGGGGACGGGTCCACAACAAAGCAGCTCAGGCCTACGAGACGGAAAAGGGGGCCCGAGAGAGCAACCCCACCCCCCGCCAGGCTGAGAAGCAGCCCGGCACGTGCCGGGGGGCCTGGTCTGATGCTGCCGGCGTCACCCCGTCCCCACCGGTACCGCCAGGCGTGGCCCAGGGACACCCCAGCCCCGGGAAAGGAAAGTCAGAGCCGATTTCACCCTGGACCCTGCCCCTGTCCCCGGTCACAATACTCACTCCACGGGCTCAGTGGGTGCTCCTACTTGTGGAGACCCAGGTTTGGTCCCCAGCACCCAGCGGCCCCCTAAGCAGTGTCAGGAGCAAGCTCTCACCCCCCAGCACAGAGCTAGGAGCCCCCTGAGGAACAGGGGCTGCCCCCTCAAGCGTAGGACTCCCAGACGGGCCACCTAACTTCTGGTCTCCATCCACAGGGCCCATCCCCTGGCGGGGCTTGGGGAGCTCACGGGGTGCAGGGGATTTACACGGGGGGCGGGAGGAGGGGCGGGGGTGTGTGCCGTGCAAGGCAATGGCCTTCTGCGCTGTCCTATTGCTCTGGTCCGCCCCCCACCGGTCCAGGGCGAGAAGCCACAGTCCAGCTGGACGGAGAAGCAGTGGCTGCTGCCTTCCGGGTCGGAGGAACGACACCGTCACAGACCAGACCTCACGATAAACCGAGCCTCCGAGAAGCAGGCGAGCCGGGACGGAGCGTCGGGGGGTTAGGAACGTTAAGGGCGCTAGGCTGGAACACGTAGGCGTTTCCCACAGCTGCATGACGCAAATCCCAACTCCAACGGGAGACCACAGAGTCACCAAAGTGACACACGGAAGACAGAGTTAATGCCTCCCGCGCTTCAGAAACTTTTTCAAATCAAAGGCCGAACCACCCCAAATCACTGAGCGTGAACTAATTCCTAAAACGAGACACACTGGCGAGCAGTGACGGTACGTGGGAAGGAGCCAAATACTGGCCAACCTGGCAACGCTCAGGGGTCACTCTATTTTTTTTTTCTTTCCCTTTTTGGGTCACACCGGGTGATGCACAGGGGTTACTCCTGGCTCATGCACCCAGGAATCACTCCTGGTGGTGCCCGGGGGACCCTATGGGATGCTGGAAATCGAACCCAGGTCAGCCGTGTGCAAGGCAAACGCCCTAACCCACTGTGCTATCACCCCAGCCCTCAGGGATCACTCCTGGCGGTGCTCACGGACCACATGGGACGCCGGGCATCGAACATGAGTTGGCCGCATGCTAGGCAAAGCGCCCTCCCCGCTGTGTTATCTCTCAGGTCCCTAGAAATCTTTGAAACCCCTCACTTTGGCAAAGAAGTCAAAGGAATCGCCCGAGAGCGGGGAAAGTAAGGCCCCCTGGTGCAGAGGGCACAGAGCTCTGGGGGTTGGGGGGGGCACTCACAGTTTGGAGTCGGGTTTATTCTTTGACCAGGAGGCTGGCTTCTACGTTTGTCCGAGAGAAGGAACAGACTTATTTCTGACTGGTTCCCCTTGCGAGCCCAACGAAGAAGGCCCATTGTGAGTCGGGGCTTATTTCAATGAGACCCACCCCTGCTTAGGCCCGGGAGGGCAGCCCCCTCGGCCACCCACCCTCTGCACGTGGGCAGCTGGGGTTCAGACTCGGGCACCGTGCACTTCTCTGAGCACAGAGCCGGGAGCAAACCCTTAAATCCTACCCTGGGTCGGTGCTGAGCACCATGGAGTTTGCCCGTTCCCCCCAAAGGGGCACCGTCTCAGGCTCTGGCCTAGGAAGAGAGCCAAGAAGCAGGAAATTAAAAAACCAGTTGCCAAACAGGGAAGTTCCTTATCGTTTGGATTTTACTTGTGGGAGTGGGGCCGGGGCGCAGACTCCCAGGGGCCCTCACGGTTCTGGGGTCCCCCTGGGACACGCCGCCAACCGAGTTAGGGGCTGCTGCCCACAGCGGGGACACTGGGGGTCTCAAACTCGTCCATCACACCAGGCACGGAGCGCCAGCCACCCGGCCACTCCCCCAACTCTAAATACATTTTTTTTTTAAAGTTATCGATGTGCGTGGACCCGAGGTCTGACTTGCTCTGGGCCACCTCTGCAGGATCAAGCCCTGGAGCAACTGCCCAGCTGGGCGTGGACCCTGGATCCCGAGCATGGAGTGGACCCCCACCCCCACCCCCACCAAAGCACAAATAAAAGAAAAAACAAACAGGGCCAGAGAGACAGTATAGCGGGGGAGGGGTTAGCCTGTGTAGCTGACCTGGGTTTGATCCCGGCATCCCATAGGGTCCCCCGAGACCACCAGGAGTAATTCCTGGTGCAGAGCCAGGATAACCCCTGAGCATCTCCCAAAATGGTCCCCCCCCACCTTTTTTTTTTTTTTAAGTTTTTGGGCCACCCCGGTGATGCAGAGGACCAAATAGGATGGTGAAGCTCAAACCTGGGTCGCCGTGTGCAAGAAAAAACACCTTCCTACTGTGCTCTCACAAATAAACTACCAAGAGAGGGACTGGGGTTAGTGCCTGTGTGCGCCAGGCCAGATTTAATCCCCAGAACAACCTGGGCGCCCCCAAACACCGCCAAGGGGACCCTGGTGGCCCGTGACACTGTCAGGGGCTAGGCCCACCCTGAACCGCCAGCTTGATTGGCAAAATATCACCGGGAGTGTCCCCAGGCCCCGAGTGTCAGTTGGGTGCCCCTACACCCCCTAAGATGAAGCAATGTGCACTCGCTGTGGCGAACCCCACAAAGCAGAGAGAAGCGGCTTCTGGCGACTGTATCCAACGTCCGACTATTTTCTGCTGACGCCTGTTCACACCTGCCCTCACAACCACGCCTTCCCCATCCACCGTGTCCAGCTGGCCCCTCTGCTCCGGGGACTCCTCTGTTCCCCAAGCCCCCAGTGGGTGGGTGGCGGTTTCCAGTCCTGGCCGCACAGGAGAATTTTAAAAACCACCCGAGGGCCTGGACCCGGGACCCTCCGGGCTCGTTGGTGTCTCTATCCTCAGCTGAGAACCAGAAGGCGGCTCCTGCGGTCACAGCCCAGCTCTTTCAGTCAAAGAGCAGGATTCTCTGCCCCAGTCACACCCCCGGCCCAAGACCTCCTCACTAGCCGGATCAAGGGGCTCCCCCAGCCTCCATGCCTCCCTGGCGGCATTGTTCTCCCCCCAGCCTTGTTTTTCCCGGGGCTGGGGGACACTGCGCCCCCAGGCCCATTTCCCGCAGCTCTTGCACATGCTGTGTCTGGGTACTGGGGGTTCCGGTTCCGTCTCGCCACACCAGGCCTGGTCCAGAGGGGTCTCTGCCCACTCAGGCGCAGACCCAGGATGCGGGTGACCACCCCCGAGCTCCTCCCCGTGCCTCTGTCAGGGGCAGCTGGGCTGCTGGTCTCCATCCTGCTTCCGGCCCCTCCTCCATGCTGTCCGCCAGTGTTTCGCAGAGCGAGCGAGCGAGCGAGGCTGTTCCGGCGGGAGTTGGGCTGCTACGTGACTGTTTTCTGAAAAGTGGGCGGTCCTCCGAGTCAAGTTTGGAAAAACTGCTAAGACTCTCGTAAATGGAATGATCCATCGGGGCAGGTCGATGAACCTTTTCAATGTCAAATTCCTCTCTTCGAAAAGACGCCCGCTGGCCAGGGCACACGCACTCCAGCCCAGGACAGGCCCGGGGCAGCCCCGCACCAACAGGCGTGGCTCAAGCACGGAACACGGAACAAGAAGAAAGAGGGATTCGGGGTCTCGGCTCCGCGTTCCGGTTGCTGGTCTCGCTCCTGCCGGTTTGTTGCGTGCCAACGGCGGGGGGCGCCTCCAGGCCGCCCTGCCCACCTGACAGGCCGGGAGGGTTAAGACGCGGGCCCTGAGGTGAGTCATCTCCACTCCCCCTCGTCCGTGGGGACTTCAACCATCAGTAAGTCTCAGGATGGTTCCACCGGGCCAGGGTCCGGTGGGTCGGAACCCTCAGCCCCATCTCCGTGATGCACGTCGGAATCACAGCGTCGGGTTCTGCAAGGGCCATGCCCCGACACTCAGGACACACAGGCCTGCTGCTGGCGCCAGCCCAGCCTGGGGCCCCGTTCACACGGAGGTGTGAGCTGCAGGCGGCCTGCTGTGAGGGTCCCGGAGCCCCCACTGTCCTGCGGCCCGACACGGCGGGCAGAACAAATGGCGCCTTGTAACCACACTCGACAGGGCGCCTCAGAGCGGCCGTCTGTTCTCACAGAGGCTGGGGCTGGGGCATGTGTGCAGATGTGTATATGCATGAATGTATATACGTGTATGTGAGCACACGTGGACGTGCGTGTTAGATGCGTGCACATCTATGTGGCTATGCATGTGGGTGCATGTGTGTGGGTATGTGTGTGCGCACGTGCACATATGCACGTGTTCAAGTGTGGGTATCCATGTGTGCATGTATGTGTGGGCATGCATGTGTGCATATTTGTACACGTAAACATGTGCATGTGTCTACGTGTGTATGTATGTGTATGCATGTGTGCATGTGTGTACACATGTGCGTACATGTGTGTGCAAGTATGCATGATGCGTGCGTGTCTGTGCCAGCAGGCCCAGGTGGCAGGAGCGGGCAGCGCTCTGGTCCCAGCCCCGCTCTGGAGAGGTCGCCTGCAGGGAGGGCGTGAGCAAGCAGACAGGAGGGGATGGATGCTCCGGCCCCTCCAAGAACCTGACCAGAGACCCCCACTGAGGAGCCGCCAGGCCCCGTCTCTGCCTCCCGAGCTTCTCCGCTCCACGTGACCACTGCTCAGGTGACCAGACCCTCAGCCGCAAACGCTGGCCCGGCCACTGAGGCCACACCTCCCCCTGCGGAATCCATTGTCTCGTGGGCCCTTGCTTGACACCGGGTCCCCGGGGCCGTCTCTGCCCAGGGCTGACCTATTGCCCGTCCCTGCTGCATCCCCAGGCCCTGGCTGATTCTCCTGCGACTGGACCTCTGTTCTCGAAGGGCACCATCAGCCCCGCTGTCCTGACAAGGACAAGGTCCACGCCCCCCTCCCCCCAGACCTTCAAGGCCCCAAGTCCAGCCGTGGGGCGGGGCCATGTGTGTCTGCAGGGCGAATGCCGGACCCCCACGGACACCTGGCTGTGCCCTGGCCGCTGCCCCTGCAGCCCCGTGAGGAAAGCAGGCCCACAGCCCCGGGACGTGGAGTCCAAGGCAGACAGCCCGACGGCGGCCAGTCCCTCCTGACTGACCCCGCCTGACCCCAGGCCTGCCTTCACCTCACCACCGCTTGGACATACCCTGCAGGGCCATGACAGGGCTCTGACCGGAGGCCCTGGCAAGTGACCACCTATCTTTCAGGCCGTCTCCCCCGCCACACGCCCCGTCACGGCCAAGACTCCTGAGGACAGAGGCCGGGAGGTCCGGCCGGCCACTCACCAGCACTGGGGTCCGCAGGCGGCTCCCCTTCCTCGGAGTCCTCCTGCTCCGGCATGGTCGGCCGCTCCCCGCGCTCCATCTGGGACATGAGGTCTGGCTTGGAAATCGCGTAGTCTGGGCATGGGAAGGAGATTGGCGGGTGAGGCCACGAGGTTCCTGCTGAGACGCCCCCCTGGGGGTGGGGAACCAGAGCAGCTGCCCTTCAGGGGCCCGGCCCCACTCTATCCCACCAGGTGCTGTGTGTGCACGTGTGTGTGTGCATGCCTGAGTGCGTATGCACATGTGTGTTAACCAAGATATTCTCCCTCTTGGCACCAGCAGGGAGGCCGGCGACCATGGGGTCCACTGCTTCTGGATCCTGCGCCTCCCGGCACCCGCCGTGGTCACTGCCTGCCCAGAGCCTTCGGGACACAGACACAACACAATGGACATTGGGGCTGGAGTGCTAGCACAGCGGGTAGGGTGTTTTCCTTGCATGTGGCCGACCTGGGTTCGATCCCCGGCATCCCATATGGTCCCCCAGGCATCGCCAGGAGTAATTCCTGAGTGCAGAGCCAGGAATAATCCCTGAGCATCACTGGGTGTGACCCAAAAAGAAAAAAAAAAAGACACTGGACATTTTCGAAAGTCAGAAACAAAGCCTGCCTGAGCCAGAGGCCACAAAAGAGGTTTCCTGGCAGAAACAGAAAAGGGAAAGAAAGACTGAGTTGTTTGGAAAGAAGGTTTAATTGCGAAGAAACTTGGAGGGGATGTTCTATCAGGTCTGCGCTTGTCACGGAAGGTTCTAGCTTCTAAAACTGTGGGTCATGGGGCCAGAGAGGAAGTACAGCAGGGAGGACATCTGCCTTGCACGTGACTGACCCGCACCCGAACTCCTGGCATCCTGAATGACCCTCCGAGCACGGCCAGGAACCATCCCTGAGCGTCTCTGGGTGTGGCCCTAAACCACCCCCCCCAAATAGAAACTGTGGGTCACCGTCCCATCTGGGGCCTGATGACCGAATGGGTGGGTTCTAAGAAATCTGGCAACAGGGGGCTGGAGTGATAGCACAGCGGGTAGAGGGTTTGCCTTGCACGCGGCCAACCCAGGTTCGATTCCCAACATCCCATATGGTCCCCTGAGCACCGCCAGGAGTGATACCTCGGTGCAGAACCAGGAGTAACCCCTGCGCATCGCCGGGTGTGACCCAAAAGCAAAAAAAAAAAAAAAAAAAAAAAAAAAAAAAAAAAAAAAGAAAAAAGAAAAGAAATGTGGCAACAGTAAAAGGTTTCTGAAAGCACAACCACCACCAAAGCGAGTACAAAACAGACCTGGGACTGTCCGGCCCCACCCCCCCTTGGCCTTGGCGCATGCCCTGGGGTGCAAGGGGCCCACAAGTGGAGAAAGTTCCTGAAGCCTGATCTAGGTGGCAGAGGGCTAATATCCATAATGACATATGGTTTTTTTTTCCCCTTTTTTTGGGGGGTCACACCTGGCGATGCTCAGGGGTTGCTCCTGGCTCTGCACTTAGGAGTTACTCCTGGCGGTGCTCAGGGGACCCTATGGGATGCTGGGAATCGAACCCGGGTCGGCCGCGTGCAAGGCAAACGCCCTCCCCGCTGTGCTATCGCTCCAGTCCCAAGCTTTTCACTTTTACAAACAGCGAAGAGGAAAAAGCAAAGGCACCAAGCAGGAACTCATGGGAGGAGACGCGGCCCAGGCTTTCAAAGTGGCGGCCCCGCTCTGGGCGCTGTCCACTGCCTGGTGGTGGCCCAGGGGTGCTGGGTTCAGCCCTCGGGGGGTCCGTGGATGCCACAGGGCAGCCCCGCAGCCTCTTTCCTCCGCAAAACCCCTTCTGGCACGGGACCCACCATGTCCCCCCACACACACAGTGCGCAAACATGCAGGGACGTTTCTCGTGGCCCCTGTCCCAGCCCAAAGGCCCAGTGTCCCTCTGGAGTCCAGCAGAGCCTCCCAGGCCGCGAGTGTGAGCACAAGACGGCGAGTCCTTGGGCGAGGCCTCCGCTGGCACCCGACAAGGCTCAGGGGTTCCTCCTGGCTCTGCACTCAGAAATCACTCCTGGCGGTGCTCGGGGGACCTTATGGGATGCTGGGAATCGAACCCGGGTCGGCCACGTGCAAGGCAAACGCTCTCCCTGCTGTGCTATGCTCCAGCCCCGGGACGCTGGTTTCTGTGCAACACGCACCAAATGCTTTTCTCTGACTTTTGGGCAACACACGGCAGTGCTCAGGGTGGACGCCTGGCTCTGTGCTCGGGGTCACTCCTGGTAGGGCTCGGTGGGGGGGGTGGAATCATCTGGGATGCTGGGGATCGAACCCGGGTTGGATGGGTGCAAAGCAGACACCCTCCAGGCCCCCCGAGTGGTTCTCTAGCTCTGTTGGTGCCCAGATAGCTGCTCATTGGGGAAAAGCAGCGTGGAATGGAAGGATGTTCTCCCGGGCTGCCGCTGGGACGACACATCTGGGGTGAAACTTCCCGGCAACAGGAGGAGGTCACCGCTGTCGGGTTCGGGCGAGCTCAGGGAGGCCGACCAGGAGTGGGTGGGCACTCAGGACACCAGCCCTACTCAGCGCCAGTGCTGGTCCCTGCAGCAGAGCTGGGCACGGGGAGGAGACGGTGGGGCCTTCACGGGGCCCTCCACACTCTGCGGAGGGCCGGGGAGGGGACACAGTGAGCGAGTGGGTGCTTTGCATACGGGGGTCCTGGGCTTAATACCCAGAGCTGCATGGACCGAGCACTGAGCTGAGAGCAGCCACGGAGGAAGGGTAACGAAAACCAAAACACCAAGCCAGAGCCACACAGGACAGCGGGGAGGGCGTGTGCCTTGCACGTGGCAGACCCGGGCCCAACCCCTGGCACCCCTGATGGTTCCCCGAGTCCCTCCAAGAGTGACCCCCGGGCGCAGTTCAGGAGTAAACCCTGAGCACCAACGGGAAGGCCACAATCCCTCCCTAGAAGCCCCACCTCCAGGTAAAACAGAAAGTTGGCAAATGATGTTTGTCAGGGAGATCAATGATCAAGAATATAGTCACGGAGGGGCTGGAGCGATAGCACAGCGGGGAGGGCGTTTGCCTTGCACGCGGCCGACCCGGGTTCGATTCCCAGCATCCCATACGGTCCCCCGAGCACCACCAGGAGTAACTCCTGGGTGCATGAGCCAGTAGGAACCCCTGAGCATCACCGGGTGTGACCCAAAAAGCAAAAAATATAATAATAATAATAATAATAATAATATAGTCATGTTAATATTAGCATGTAACCACGAGGAGTATGTATTTGACATTTGTGCCTCCAAAGGGACCCAGGGAAAGTGAAACAGCAGTGACCAGCCACCGGCGCCTGCCCTGGCTCCCGGGCTCCTCGTGGCTCCCGGGGGCGTCTGTCCCCGAGCCCGTGGCGCGGAGGGGTGGGCGGCCCTTACCCATGGACACCAGGGACTCGTAGTTGCCCCGCATGACGTTCTTGTACAGCTCCTTCTGCCACTCGGAGAGGTTCCCCCACTCCTGCTCGGAGAAGTGCACGGCCACGTCGTCGAAGGTGACCGGGACCTGGGGGCACACGAGAGGGTCAGCGTGGATCCACCTCTGCGGGGGACGCGAGCTGGCCCGAGTGGGTGCCCTGGCGCCCGTCACTCCCCCCACCCATCCCCACTGGCCTTTGGTCCCCGCACCCCATGGGGACCCCTACGCTCTGCCGGGAGTGAGCCCTGACACTGCCAGCGGTGGACCAAGAATAATAATAAAAAGGCGTGGGAGAACCTACTAGAAACAGGGGGGAACGGAGGTGCTGCCCCTGGGGGCTGCCCCGAGAACCCGGAAGTGCTCCACGCAGCCGCCACGTCATCCTGAACCGCGGGGAGGGCGACACAGACTCAGGGCCAGCTGTAGGGCCCAGACGGGCAGGGACCGTCCCCGACCTCGTCTGCAGGGACCTGGCCGGGACTGGTGGGTCCCCTGGGGAAAGCACCCAAGCAGCTCACCGTGTCCCCATGACCTGCCCCCCTACACACGGGGGGCTTGGCGGGGCAGCCCCCCTCCCCACGGGCCCACCTCAGCCCTCGGCCCCAGTCCTCCCTCTTCCTGCTCTGGGGACGGACGTGCTGGCCGGCAGAGCAGCGCGGCCCCTGGTGGGTGCACCCAGGGGGGACGGGGACGGCTGTGCGGGAACGGGCCCACCTTGGGGACTTCTCCGTTGCTGCCGGGCGGCAGCCGCAGGATCCAGAAGTTTCTGTTCTTCAGCAGGTTCTCCATGTTCTCCAGGCGTCGCTGCAGCAGCCCGTACTCCTGCAGCAAGGTGCCCAGCACCACCCACTTGCTCTCCAGGTGGTTGGCGAACTCCACGGCCGACTTCTCGCAGTCGGCGATCTTCTTCTCGTTGGTGCCCGTCCTGCCCTCCAGGGTCAGGAGCCGCATGGCCTGGGCGTCCAGCTTCCGCTCCACGGCCTGGACGGCGGCCCACACGGCCAGGCGGGTGATCTCGGCCGTGGGCAGCGGCGGGTCCCTGGAGGCGGGGTCCTTCTGGGCAGCGGGGCTCGGGGGCAGGGGGTCCATGTCGCTCTCGGGCACCGTCGGGGACAGGGTCAGCGGGTCTTTGTCGGGGACCTCGGGCGAGTGCAGGGGGCTCTCCTGGTGGGCGGCGGGGGACAGCAGCGAGATCTCGGGCCCGGCGGAGGCCACCGGAGTCGGAAGCTGGGTCTCTGCCCGCGGCGGCGGGGTCTCCTGCTCAGAGGCGGCAGGGTACGGCGGGGAGGGCCCCTTCGGGGGTGCCTGCGGCATGCGTCCAGAGGAGTCCGGCTTGGGGGCGCGGGGCGGCGGCGGCGGGAGGGGGCCGTGGCGGGCAGCGGCGGGTGACGGAGGCCGCGGGGTGTCCTTGGGGGGCGCACGGGGCGGGAAAAGCGATTCTCGTGGGAGTCCGGCAGGGGCCTGGCGGGGGCGCTCTTCCTGCAGGGTGCTGGGGAGCGACATGGGTGATGAGCGCTGGGTGTCCATGTCCAGCTGCTGGACCTGGAAGAAAGGGCAGGACAGGAGTGAGGGGTGCGGGCGGCACCGAGTCCCCAAGGGAGGAGCCTGCGACCAGCGCCTTGGGGACAGCCTGCACCCACAGCCTGGCACGCACCCCCCCACCCCCACCTCCAGCGCCAGAGCGCCCTGGGCAAATGCGGCGACCCCCGGTCACAACCCTTGGTCCTGGCAGTGGTGACAGGGGCAGGGGAAAGGGCTGTGTTGGGGGCAGGAAGGTGAGTTCCAGGGACACAAATGCCTCCAGCTCTGATCAGACACGCGTTAGAAAGTTACTAATGACCAGACCCCGACTCCTCCCTCTCATGAGCCAGCACGCACACACACACACACACACACACACACACACACACACCACACACGCGCGCAACGCACACCCGCCGTAGGCCCGGCTGTCCGACCCCCTGTTCTCAGAGTCCCCGTCCACGTGCCGGTGCTGTCTGACACACCTGCTGGCCGAGTTGCCTGCGCCGTGAGCTTAGTTAAGTAAGACTGAAAAATGACTGAGCAGAATCGCGGCAACGCCGGGCGCTGGGCTCTGCCAAGACTCCGCGGGGAGTGGGGGGGAAAGGCGACAGCCGGGAGGGGGGTCCGGGCGCAGCGCTGCTCACCCTCACTTTGAAGGGGGACTCGGAACACGGGGCCGCTGCCGCCACTGGCATCATGGGGCTACACGCACACACAGACACACACAGACACACACAGATACAGATACACACACACAGACATACACAGACACATGCGTGCGCACACACAGACCCACAGACACACACACCCCCTTCCCTTTTCCAGATCGGCGGACACCAAGGCGCTGGTGACCACCTGGGTTCCTCAGGGCTGAAGCTGACGGGGTCTCCAGGGCCCTGCCGTCCCCTGCGTCCCGGGCAGGGTCCCCCGGACCCCCAGGTGGGTGCACCTGTGTCTGGGCTCCTCGCTCAGGTCAGCGAAGTGGGGACTGAGGATGGGAGGATGAGGCGTAGCCCGAACAGCCAGGCCCTGGCGTGTGCCAAGGCTGGGGTGAGGGCAGCGGTCAGAACCAAGGTCAGACGGACCCCAACTTCCCGCACCCGCGCTGGCCCCAGCTGACCCTGGAGAGAGAACCCCAGGGCGGCAGGGAGCGAAGCCCAGGCCTTGGGAGTGACCAGCTCCCACTGGCCGAGCCAGGGTCTTCCTCAGCGCAGGGGCGTGGAGTAGAATTTCCCTGAAGACAGCGTCTGTCCCCTTCCTCCAATTCCTTCAGTGAGTCATGGCAGGGCCTGGTGCCACGGCCACGTGCAGGGACCATCAAAGGAACGGCGGTTCCCGCCCTGTCCCGGGCAAGGAGTGCGCGTGCCCTGTGGGGCCCTCTGAGAGCACGGCCCACGGGGTGGCCCACCAGGTCACCGCCAGCAGCCAACAAGGCACCTACAACCAGCCAGGGGGGACCCTCTCGACCCAGTGAGGTCCTCTAGCGCCTTTTTCATTCATTCATTCATTCACCCACTCATCCACCAACGCTCGCTCAACGAAGGCTGTTTCCCACTGTCGAGTCAGAGACTAAAGGCTTAAGCCCCATCCAGCAGCGAGCCCGGTCACTCGGCACGGACGACGTGCGGGCAACCGGCTTGGGCATGAGGAAGGGTCAACCCGGCTAATCCACACAGACCCACTGAAATCGGGCAGCGGGTTGCAAACAGAGTCATTAGGTGCACTCAGGAGCCGCCTGGCTTGGAGAGGCCCGGACACCTGCCCAAGGTCACACAGCCAAGGCTGTGACACCCGGCGCCCGTCCCCAGGCCTGCCCTGGCCTCTGCCATGGGGTACGGCAGCGGGTGAATCCTGCAACCTCAGTTCCAAGGTCTGGAGCTTCGAGAATGTAGCGAAGGCTCCAACATGGGGTAGACATGCCGGCAAACCTTTCCAGGGAAAAGGGTTGGGGACAGCCGGGACCCTTCCCCCCCAAACATCAAGAGGCACCAGGCCACCACGGACACCAAATTCTGAGCACACTCCCGGGGCCTCACAGAACCCTGAAGGCGCATCAACAGCTAGGTCAGCTCAGAACAGGTGAGGATCGCCTGGGGGGGGGGGGTGGTGGTGGTGGCTGGGAAGGAGACCCCCAGCCACTTCCCACCCCCCCATCACCCCCCTATCCTCGCAGGGGATCCGGGTCTTTGCGGACGACGAGTAGTAGGAAGAAGCGAAAATCCTCCAAGCGGCCAAGTTGGTCTTCCTGGTAGCACCGGGCTTTAGCGCAAACAATGAGGAAAGCTCCGGTAGGTAAATAAACCAGTGAGGCCAGACTTCATGACCGTCTAATCAGAGCTCCAAAAGAGAGAAAAAAAAAGCCATTTCTTTACTTTCTACTGGGACTGTCTCTCCCTCTCCCCCATCTGGAGGCTGACGGGGGCAGCTGAAGCAGCCAGGGTGTCAGGTCCTCCCCCCCACCCCCCAAGCCCCCTTGCTAGGATTTCATGAGTCCCACTTCTGCGGAAAGAAAGGATGGAGCTAGCACTATAATATCTAAAGGCTAATTCGGCTTGCACGACCCGGCCCTCAGGGACCGAGGCGGGAGAAATTCTTCTGAGCCCTGTGTCAAGCAGCGCCTGTGTTCTGGGGGGGTGGGGGGTGGAGGGTCTCCTGAGTCATGCCCACCCCCACCACAAACACACACAGCATCTGTCGTGGGCGGGCAGGCAGGATGACCCAGAGCGTGTCACCGGGAACTCCAGACACCTTCCACGGTGGGTCGGGGTGCCCTAAGCTGGAGGTGGGCTTTTTTTCCCCCCCCCCAATCATTCATTTAGTTTTCTCTTCCCTGGAGACTTGGAAAAAATCGTATCCAAATCTACTTATATCGGGAGGCTTTTGAGGAAGCCCCGGATCTGGCCTGCTCCCAGCCACCGGAGAAGGCAGCTGTGCGCGCCAGACTCGAGCCTGCCCGCAGCCTCCGGGGGTCCCCGCGGGGCTGCGGGAGATGCTCGGGCTTTTTTTTTTTAATAAAAAACAGGTCCACGGGGGAGGCCCCAGGAGCGTGTGTCCCCCCGCATACACACACCCAAGCACACACACGCAACGCGCCTAGTAACGGGTCCTCGGCCCCCACCCGCGAGGGCACCCGAAGTTCGCCGGGGGCGGGGGGCGGGGGAGGGCCCCGGGGATGCAAAGTCCCGGGAGTCACCTGCTCCCCGGCGGCGGCGGCGGCGGCGGCGGCGGCGGCGGCGGCGGCCCGCGCGAGGCGTCCCCGCGTCCCCGCGTCCCCGCAGGAGGCCGTCAGGGCCGGCCCCTCCCCCGCCCCGTCCAGGCCAGGCCCGGCCCGCAGCCCCGCGGGCGCCGAGCCCCGGCAGGCAGAGCCGCTACGTGACCTTGGGGCCGCCGGGGGTGGGGGGGCGGGGGCAGGCGACGAGGGGGGAGGGGGTCCCGGCTCCGCGCTGGGGGAGGGAAAAGGCCCGACCCGCGGCGGCGGCCCCGCGCAACGGCCGGGCCCGGCGGGCAGCGCGCCGGGGCCACCCCGACGGACGCCGCGCCCGTTCCGCAGGGACCGGGGGCCGCGGACCCCGTCCCATCCCCCCAACACACACACACACACACACACACACACACACACACACACCGCCGCCGCGCGCCCCTGCCCGCCCGGACGGGCGGACGGCGACCCCCGCGGCCGCCCCCGTCGCCGCGCGCCGCGCGGGCCCTTACCGACAGCCCAGGCCGGGCCGCCGCGCCCGGGACGCGCAGGCCGTCCCCGGGGCCCCGAGTCCGCGCGTCCGCGCGCGCGCGGGCCGGCCTGGCCGGAGCCGCGGCCGCCTCGGCCATGGCCCTGGCGCGGCCCGGCCCGGGGACCGTCGTCGCCGCCGCCGCCGCCGCTGCTGCCGCGCGCGCGCAGGCCGGCCGGGGCGGCGCGGCGCGGGGGGCCGCGGGGGGCGCGCGGCCGTCGGGCCCGGGCCGGGGCGCGCGGGCGGGCGGGCGGGCGCCGGCGTCGGAGGCGGCGCGCGGGGCGGCGGCGGCGGCGGCGGCGGCGGCGCGCGATCAGCAGGGGAGCGGCCCCGCCGCAGCCGCCGCCGCTGCCATGTTGCTCCAAACTGCATCCTGGGAGGCCGGTCCCTCGCAGGCCGTTTAAAGAGAAACGCTCCGGGCGCGTCGGAGGCCGCCCGCGCCCAGACAGCTCCATCTACAGCCGGTAGGAGCGAACAGTGCGCGGCGGCCGCGGCCACGCCCTGGAGCCCCGGGCCGGCCCGTCGCGGCGCCCGCCCGCCCGCCCGCCCGCGCGCCCGAGGGGGGCCCGCCGACCCCCGGGCGCTCACCTGGGCCCGGCTCCGCGCCGCCGCCGCCCCCGCGCCCCGGGCGCCCCTGGCCGAGCGCGAGCGCCACGCGCGGCGGCGGCGGCGGCGACGACGTGTGCCCGGCGCGGGGTGGGTGCGGTGCGGGGCGCTGGGGCGGGACTCGGGGGCCGGGGGGGCGGCTCGATCGGCCCCGACAGCGTCGCGCGCGCCCCCCCCGCCTCGCCCCCCGCCCCCGCCGCCGCTGCCCGGGCCGCGGCCCCTCGCGCACCCCCGGGCCGGGCCGTCGCCTCGCACCACCTGCGCTCACAAAGGGATGGCCGAGGCCCCCGCCGTCACGCCGAGCCGAGTCGCCCCGCGTCCATGTGACCCGCGCCAACGCCGCCGCCGCCAACGCCGCCGCCGCCGTTGCCGCTGCCGCCGCCGCCGCCGCCGCCGCCGCCGCCGCCGCTGCCCGGGGGGCCGCGCGGGCCGCGCTCCCCACCCCCCCGCCCCGCCGGCGAGTGGGGTGGACGGGGGTGGCCCTTTGTGCGGGCGCCCGGCCGGCCGCCCGGAGGGGACCACGAGGCCGCCTCCCCACCCCCTCCGCTCCCCGCTCCACCTCCCCGAGGGGGCGCCCCGCCGAGGGGAGCCAGCCCGCTGCGTGCCGCCCGGCCTGCAGGCCCCGTCGAGGCCAGCCAGGGAGCCGGACCCCCCCCCGCCCCCGCCCCGGTAAAAATAAATGAATAAGTCACCGGCCGTCCGGCGGAGCGCGGTCCCTGGACAGTTGGAGGGACACGCGCCCGGGCCACAGCCGGCTAGGAAAAATACTCCAAGAAAGGCATCACGACCTGGAACCCCCACCCCCCAACTGGAATAAAGCTCGGGGTACGGGGTACAGGAGACCCCCCTCCTCCCCGAGGGGCGCCCCCCGTAGGCCCCCCAGCGCGGGTGGGGGGAGCGGAGGGAAGTCGAGCCCGCTGCGTGCCGCCCGGCCTGCAGGCCCCGTCGAGGCCATCGAGGGAGCCGGACCCCCAGATAAAAAATGAATAAGTGACCGGCTGGCGAGCGCGACCCCTGGACAGTTGGAGGGACACGCGCCCAGGCCAAGTGGCCAGCAGCCGGCTGGGAAAAATAACCCAAGAAAGGCATCAAGACATGGACCCCCCCCCCAACTGGAATAAAGCTCGGGGTACGGGGTACAGGAGACCCCCCTCCTCCCCGAGGGGCGCCCCCCGCAGGCCCCCCAGCGCGGGTGGGGGGAGCGGAGGGAAGTCGAGCCCGCTGCGTGCCGCCCGGCCTGCAGGCCCCGTCGAGGCCATCGAGGGAGCCGGACCCCCAGATAAAAAATGAGTAAGTGACCGGCTGGCGAGCGCGACCCCTGGACAGTTGGAGGGACACGCGCCCAGGCCAAGTGGCCAGCAGCCGGCTGGGAAAAATAACCCAAGAAAGGCATCAAGACGTGGAACCCCCCCCCCCAACTGGAATAAAGCTCGGGGTACGGGGTACAGGAGACCCCCCACCCCACTGATTGTCAATGAGACCCCGGGAGCAGCTGGGTGGCCAGCTCGGCCCTGCCCTGCCCTGCCCGCTCGATCCCCGCTCGCTCCGTCCTTGTGCGTCTCCATCTGTCAATCAGCGGGCGTGGGCACTGCAAGGGCGGACGGAAGCGCGGGCCTCGGGGCCTCGCCTGCTGCAACTTGCTGCCCTGCACGCGTCCTTGTGCTTCGCAGACGGGCTCCTGTCCACGCCGGCCCGCCTGTTCGCCCCTGCGTACTACGCCACCCCACCGACCGTCCCGAGGAGGGAGGAAGCACGCCAGCCCCCAGCGGTGTCTGCTCTGCGGTCTTTGCTCCCAGAGACAGAGACACAGAATATTGGGGGGGCTTGTGGGGGGGGGCGGGGAGGCCTCCAGGAGTCTCTCCGCCGGCCCCTGCACACGGCACCAGCAGTAGCAGCCTGAGCTTTCTGCTTCCTGTCCGCTGAAGAACTCGGGTGAGAGGCGGTGCGGGTTGCATAGGTTACTTAGTATCTTACTTGTAACCGGCGGTTGAGAAGCTGAGCATCCTTTCGTGTGGACCAAACCCGAGCTTCCTAAGCGAGCTCCCTTCCTCCTTGGATCCCGTCGCCAGTGTTTCTGGCCTAACAGCATTTTCTTATGCATTTATAGGCGTTCAAAAAAAAATTCTGAATATTTATCGCATGACGCGATATAATTATGGGTATGATGGCAGTTAAATCTGTCCTTTTACTAGAATGTGCCTGTCAGTTCCAGGGAATCGGTGGTCACATGTTTCCCCCTTTGGTTCACTTTGAAACTATTTACATTTATTTATTTATTTATTTATTTATTTTGCTTTTTAGGTCACACCCGGCAATGCACGGGGGTTACCCCTGGCTCTGCACTCAGGAATTACTCCTGGCGGTGCTCAGGGGACCATATGGGATGCCACGGATTGAACCCCGGGGCAACCGTGGGCAAAGCAAACACCCTCCCTGTTGTACTATCGCTCCAGCTCAGATCTTTAATTTTTAACAGCCTACTTCTAAATCATACCCCTCCGCCTGTGGTGTGTTAGTGGAAAGTAAAACAGGTTATTCACTAGCCTGTGTTCTATTGTTTGCATACGTTTTGTTTCTTGATGCTGAGATCCACATAATAACATACTGTTATATCACACTGTTCATGACAAGCGTGCACAAGTTTATATTTAAAAGTCTTTTTTTTGTGGGGGGGACAAAGTGATAGTATAGGGGGTAAGGCTCTGAGCAACTGACTTGGGTTCCATCCCCCGTGTGGTTCCCCACATCCTCCCTGAGCACAGAGCCAGGAGTAAGCTTTGAGCCCTGTTGGGTGTGCACCAAAACAACAACAAAGTTGTTTGTTTTTAAAATTTTAGGATTTGTGTGTGTGTTTTTTAATTTAATTTTTAATTAAATTTTTTAATTTAATTTTTTTAAATTTTTAATTTTTTAATTTTTTAAAAATTTCTTCGCAATGCCTTTGACATTTCTCAAACACTGTCAACAAACACTGTCCTCCCGTTATTCATCAATTTGCTCGAGCGGGCCCAGTAACGAGTCCATTGTGGGATTTGTTATTACTGTGTTAGGCATATCGAATACGTCACGGGGAGCTTGCCAGGTTCTGCTGTGCAGGCGAGATACTCTTGGTAGCTTGCCAGGCTCTCCGAGAGGGGTGGAGGAATCGAACCCGTCTCGGCCGGGCTGGCTGCGTGCAAGGCAAACGCCCTACCGCTGTGCTATCGCTCCAGCCCATGACATTTCTCATTTTAATTTTTTTTTAGATGCTTCCCAAACTTGTTCTACTGCACCGTTTACAGAAAAAAAAAATTTACTTCGCATCCTCCTATAAATCTTCCTTCTTTCAGTGAACAAAGTGCCCCTCATTGGCACCAAGACTCCCTTGCCCTTCCCTGAAGGGGTCGCTCCAAGCCCCCAGGGCTGGTACTGCACACTTTGGGAGACATTTATGGTTTGCCTTTCTCACTGTTCCGTGTTTTTTTTTTTCTTTTTGGGTCACACCCGGAGATGCTCAGGGGTTACTCCTGGCTCATGCACTCAGGAATTACTCCTGGCAGTGCTCGGGGGACCATATGGGATGTTGGGAATCGAACCCGGGTTGGCCGCGTGCAAGGCAAACGCCCTACCCGCTGTGCTATCGCTCCAGCCCCTCACTGTTCCGTTTTTGCATCTAGTGTTGGGGGAGAATGTTTTTGCACTCTGTTCAGCTTTCCTGAGATAGAATCCACAGAGCCTGAAACCCTTCCTCTGGGCTGTGCAGTTCAGTGGCTTTTCTGCAAAGTTGTGCCACATCCGCATGACCTAAGTCTGGGATATTTGCAGCACCCCAAAAACATCCCTGCACTCTGGGGGCCGGAGGGAGACTACAATGGGGAGGGAGTTTGCTTTGCACGCGGCCAACCCAGGTTCGATCTCAGCATCCCATATGGTCCCCCGAGCACGGCCAGAAGTGATCCCTGATTGTGGAGCCAGGAGTAACCCCTGAGCATCACCGAGTGTGGCCCCCAACCTGAAAAAAAAAAACAAGAAAATTCACCGCCACCACCACCCACAATAAAGCATCCCTGCATGGGGCTGGAGCAATAGCACAGTGGGGAGGGCGTTTGCCTTGCATGCGGCCGACCCGGGTTCGAGTCCCAGCATCCCATATGGTCCCCTGAGCACCGCCAGGGGTAATTCCTGAGCGCAGAGATAGGAGGAACCCCTGTGCATTGCCGGGTGTGACCCAAAAAGCAAAATAAATAAAGCATCCCTGCATTCAACAGTGCTCTGTGCCAGTCAGCCCTTAGCACCACTAATCTACTTCCTGTCTGTGGAGTTGTTCATCCTTGAGCATTTCAAATCAATAGAAACGTATCCTCTGTGCTCCATTTTATGGCCTCTATCACCCTGTCTAATGTATAACTTTAACAATAAGGTTAACGGGGCCCGAGAGATAGTCCAGGGGTTAAGGCTCTCGGCATCCCAACAGCCCTTGGTCGAGTCTCCCATAGCTACACTTAGGGTTCCCCAG